TTTTCTGTTAATGTATTGCAGAGTGGTGTAATGTGTTCCACACTTACTTGTAGATGTTGCTTACCCTCTTGCTTGGAGGAAGCTAAGACCGAGAGATGCTAAATAGCTCAACATACAGCAGTCTAGAATGCTTGACATACAGAAGCCTAGAAATCCCCTACCTGAGCCAGTGTTTTGAAAGATGCTTGCATTAAAACATCACAATGGTAACATAGCTGGTTTGTGTAGCTATTCGATGGTATAGTGATCACTGCCCTATGAAGAATTCAGCCTAATGTAGAATGTATATCAACATCATGCTAGGAAACATGTTGGTTTTAATTGATCTTATCTTTGATTTTATCATTATTTATCAGATGCAGTGTGTTGTTTGTTGTATATGGTTGCTTGTTTCTTGTAAACCATCCAGAGACTTTAGTATTGGACAGTATATAAAAACTTTGAATGAATGAATGAATGAATGAATGAATGGGGCAGTTATTCTTACTATGCACTCCAAAGTCAAGCAGATTTGGACTAGTCAAGTGAGGAGGGGTGCTGGGAACCAGGATCCTCAGATGTTGAAATGGAAGAAGCAGAGGGGCTAATCTCAAGGGCACCTTTCCCACATATTCAGGTGGACATTGAGAATAGTCAGGATTTACAACTGCAGGGAGGGGGCATGGAAAAAGAACTTCTGCAGCCAGCCGAGTCTGATACGACCCTTGACCCCATGATGCAACATTGGGGGAGATGGGCCAACCAACAAGAGTAGGGGTGGACAAAGAGGCTTGCCCATCCCCAAAAGGGCCCTCCCAGAGAGAGGGGGTCCAGGGGTATTCAGAAGGAGAATGCTTGGGAGTAGTTGCTAGATTGGGTGAGGTGAACTGCTCTGTGCATGCTCAGGGACTCATTCTTTGTTGATTGTTCTTTTTTTGTGTAAATTTTTATTATTATTGTCTTCAAACTAAAAAAAATAGAAACTAAAAAACATCAGTCATCAGAAACAGACCTGCTGGGTCAACCCCCCATTTTTTTTTTAATAGCAGTCCATAAGCATATTCAAATCTACGCATAGTCCCATTTCTCTAGCCAATAATAAAAAGAGTTTCAAGTTTGATAGAAGTATGTATCCTCTTTCTCCTTCAGAGACAAAGTCAATCTGTCCATTTCAGCACAATCCAGAACCTTTTTTAAAATCAGTTCATCCGTGGGTGGTTCTTCACTCCTCCAGTGTTGGGTAAATGCAATCCTTGCCACAGTAATTACATGTAGAATCAAATAAATAGCTTGTTTATCGACATCATCAGGTCTTTGTTGATTGCTCTTACTGGAAGTGCATTGGAGAATAAGGAGCTTTTGCCAAAGAACGGTCTGTTGTTTTGGAAGTGCAAAGGGGGAAACCTAGCTTGTGTCGCATTTTTCATGCATGACCGAGAATAATTATCTCTCTCTTCTGTTCTGCTGAGACAACTGACTTCATTCCCTTCTAATGTTTCATGCAGGGAATAGACGAAGGTCCAGAGGGACTCAGACTCATTTCTGACATAATCCGAGAGAAAATGGGGATAGACATCAGTGTGCTGATGGGAGCCAACATTGCCAACGAAGTAGCTGCAGAGAAGTTCTGTGAAACCACAATAGGTAATTTTTGATCATTCATTTGCTGCTTTTGAATAAATGCCACCATCCTGCTGTTGTAGGATTGTTAGGAGATCCTGCATCTTTTCAGATTGTGGCTGTAGGTTTAACTGCAGTGATGTGAGTCCAACTGACATGTTATTTGTTGGGCTTCTCTGTAGCAAATGCAAGCTGTGAAAATATCATGGTCCAGGATAGTTGGGGAAATGTCCAAATGTAAAGATGCCTTCAGAGCAAGCATTTTAATTATTCTCTAAGAAATAACTTCTAAATATAGTGCTTTTGAAAAGTAAAAGATTGGCTGAGCAAATAATTTTAACAGTGAGTAACTCACAGGTCCTGGATAATACCATAAGCAAAGAGATGGCAATCTGAATTCTTTCTTCTCTGTCCCTTTCCACGAATGAAATAAATTCATCAGGTACATCATTAAGCAGTGCAATTCTACCCTGTCCATCTAGAAATAAATCTAGCTGAGTTCAGCGGGCATACCTCCAGGTAAATGAGTATGCTTAACTAGGCCTCCAAATTCAGTATGCATTCTTCTTGGTTCCACAGAAATTCCTGGGAGAATTTCCTGCATTGTGGATGGCACTTGGGTGGTGTAGAGGCCTGGGTGTGAGGAAGGACAGTGTCCGGGTCTTTCCAACAGACACATGATGGCAGGGTGAAATAGTCCTTTCCTGGGTGTCTTAAGTGCACATGCTCCACCAATAGTTGGGCCCTGGCTTTGAGGCATTGGGCACTAATGTTCTTAGATGTTTGAAACAAAAAGTACAGTGTCCTGGCTGGCTTGGTACCGACCAAATAGCAAAGGTGGCCTGCTTTCTATTTTAATGGTATTCAAATGCACCATAATATATAAATGTGGGACAGCTAATGACTGGTAAAAAAAAACTGAGAGAAAATATGAGCATAGAACATACATATGATTAGACACCAGGGAGCTGAGCTGCACATTCAGAAGAATCATCTGGTTTAATCCTCTTAGACTTGCACTAGATTTCCATGTGATCCCTGTATAGATTAGCCTTTACTGTTTGGCCTGTTGAACAGAAGGGTAGGAATCTCATTTTGAACTCTACCTCAGTAAGTTAAAATTAAAGTACCACTTCTCATAGGGATGTCTATGATTTGTGCGGAGGGCCTGCTGTGAATCCAGCTTGACTAACTTTGGTCAAGCTTTTTAATTCAGCTTTCTCCAAGCAAGTATTTTGGACTTTCATTCTCATGCGTCCCAGCCAGGATAGCCAAAGGTCAGGAATACTGCGAGTTGTAATTTAAAACATCTGGAAGACACCAGGTTGGGGAAGACTATTTTAACTGGTTGCTTTTGTAAGAGGCCAGTTTGAATATTATAGGTAGCTTCTACTTGGATGGGATACACAGCTGTGCTTCATTAACTTCTCAGTGATCATGCCTGGGAATGGACCATAGCATGAAGGGCAGCTTGATTACAGTGACAATCTCATGGCCCAGTGGATGACTCCCCTAGGCTTGTTTGCCCTGGCCCATAGGGCATTGGTTCAGTCCCGCTCATTTCTCTATCACACATAGTCAACAAATGTGCGATAGACAGATAAACTTTATTGTGTGCATAGAAGGCTTTGTGGCTGCACATTGTTTTGGCAGGCTCTGGGCTAGTAGCTAGATTGGGACTGGGAAGGACTGGATTCAAATCCCAGCTCCATCCTGAGGCTTACCGGACTGCCATGAGCCTAGGTCTGATAGCTCGGTACATGCCCCTCACCGCCTTGTTTTGTGGATAAAATTGGATAGGCCTTGGAGGAAGAGTGTGATATGGTGGGCTCAGACTAATGTAGCACTTTAGGGTATATAAAATGAGGCTTGGAGCTATGGGGAAGAGTTTCACTTGCCCGTTCTCCCCTTTCTCTTTCACCCCTCCCCACCACAAAACAGGCTGTAAAATTTTGGAGAATGGCCACCTCTTCAAAGAGCTTCTTCAGACTCCAAACTTCCGCATAACCGTGGTGGACGATGCTGATACAGTGGAGCTTTGTGGTGCTCTTAAGGTAAGGTTGGTCTCTGGCAGGAATGAGATTCTACCCCAATGACTAAAAATCAGAAAGAGTGAAATAAGGGGAACTGGTACAGGTGCAAATTCAGATGCTTGCTGCTTCTGTAACCTTGAGTAATCTGCTGTTGTAAGAGCCACATGAAAGAGCTGTTGCAAAATTTCCACATCCTGCCTTCTTTCAGGCAGTTTCCTCTTCCCTTGTGTCAGTGGGAAAGCACTGTGTGAGGCTGGAATACTTTTGGACAGCAGGCAAAAGGCAACATTACCTGACCCTCTTGTTTCTTGTCCTTTGGAAGTCCTGACCAGATCAATTCTCCTTCTTTTATCTTCTCTGAGAAGGACCTTCTCTGTGGTGGCACCCAAATTGTGGAATTCGCTCTCCAGAGAGATTCGCCTGGCGCCGTCACTTTATTCTTTTCGGTGCCAGGCAAAACCTTTTTATTTTTCCAATGTTTTTAAGACCTGACTGTTTTAATTGGGGATTTATTCTTAGCTAAATTTTAGTATGCTGTGTTTGTTTGTTTGTTACATTTTGCAGTGCTTTTTTTATAAGAAAAAAGGTGCTGGAACTCATGAAATTATTTACCTTTCGCACGTAGTCAATCACTGTACACACACCCACACGTCAGTTGTGTAACGAAACATAATGGTCGCTGCCCGCACTCAGCGCGTGACCACACGACCAATCACAAGCTGAGCAGCACCACCACAACCAGCGCGGACGAAGCACGCATGCATCAGACTCAACACACAAGCAGCCTGTATGCACCATTTTAATGATTTTGCCGCCGACCTGCTACGCTCGACAGGGCTATTCAAATCCACATGGACCAGACAGCAAATTCTCAAAAGTTACTTTTAAAACTTGGAAAATCTGTCAAAAAAAGGTGCCGGAACTCCGTTCCAGTGTGTTCTATGACTAAAAAAGCACTGACATTTTGTATTGTTAAACTGTCCCGAGACTTCAGTAATGAGGTGGTCTTCGAACGTTTAAATAAATAAATATTGGAGAAGGCTTTAGCTCTGTGGTAAGTGCCCCTGTTTTGCCTGCAGAGGGTCAGGATCTCTGTGGGGATTGGGAAAGGATCCGACCCCTTCTGCCAGTTTGTGTCGACAATACTGAATTGCATGAACCGAGGGTTGGTCTGGCTCAGTTAAAAGAATCATGCTTCTTATTTCTTTGATGGTTATGTTTTTAATTGTGGTTTAAATTATTTGCACTGACGCTATGCTTTAATGAATATTTTGTTTTAATTCATATCTTATTGTTAGCCACCTTGAGGTGTATTCTTGGGAGAAAAATGGAATAGAAAATAAATATTGTGTGTGTTGCCTTCATAAAGAAGGTACGTCCCACCTGCATATTTGAAAAGGATATGTTTTTGGCTTGCTGTTTGCTTTCCTACTGTGGCTTCTGTGTACCAGATTTTGAAACCTGAGCACTGGAGAAAGAGGTTAAGTAGAGATGCTATGCAAAAATATAAGTCCTCAAGATGAGCAGTCAGACAAAGAGCCAGCCAGGAGGGTCCCCACCTTTGTAGATATTTCTTTCCCTTCTTTTTCAGCTGGCTTTCTTTTTTCCATCAGCTCATCCAAATAAGAACGATTTTGATCAAGATAGCTGCCTAAGGAGCAAAATAAACACAACAAAAAGGTTTTAAGCATAGGATTCTTCCACAGATAGCAACAGTTTTTAGCACCTGACTTCTAAGCACATCTAAATGCACTCAAAAATAATAGTCCCAGCTGAAGGATGACAGAACATCTGCTGTTCAGATGTTGCATATCTGGTTTCATTGGACGTATTTTTATGCTGATAGAGAGGCAGTATATATAGTATAGAAGGCTGTCAGCTTTGGCTGTAAACTCTTTGCTTTAAATAACAGATGTGTGGGCTGGCTAGCAGCAATACCAGTGTGGAATTTCCTTGGTGCTACAAAGACAGTTAAGAGTAGCTATGGATATAAGAGCTTCTTGTTCTGTGCTGGCCATTTGATACCTTTTCATTATTAGGGACTAGTCTAGTAAGAAGTACACTTAAAAACTCTGGTCTTTTAAAAAAAGATTTGAAAGTACCAAGCTGAAATCCAGCTAATGGTGTGAAACCTCCAAACTGGTGCCCTCCAGATGTGCTGGAGTATAACTCCCATCAGCTTCCACCAGCATGGTCATCAGGCTTGCTCACTGGGGATGATTGAAGTTGAAGTCCAATACATCTGGAGAGTACCAGCTTGGAAAGACTGCATTTTTCTCACTAAGCCTATAAAAGCTTGTAGTGAGATATGAACTGATGGGAGCTGTTGAAAACATCTGGAGGGCACCAAGTTGGGAAAGGCTGAACTTAAGTATGTCTTAAACCATGGTTTCCTAAAATAATCAAAACTGAATCAGTCCTCGTCCTAGCATTGGAGGAGAAGGAAACAGGATGTGCCATAGCTTGTCTACACAGAGCTAAACCATGGTTTAGTGGCATATGCAAATTGGGCGGTATTTACTCTGCAGTACTGGATGCTGTGCATCATAATATTATAGCTGTTGCACTGTAATATGGACTGGTGCCATTTTTTTAGAATGGTTTTGTAAGAGCACACATTCTGGGATGTATCACACCTTTAACATGTATGTGCACTTTTCCACCTTACTTAAATCTGGTTGTTCTGTATCTTGGAGATGAAGGAATGCAAGACAATGCAATTTATTCACACTAGCTGTTAGCTAAGCTTGGCAAGATGCACAGAGGTAATCCGTTCTGAATTGTATTGTAGCAGCTCTGGCAAAGTTCTGCAGCTCATTGAATCTGAGCCTTGTGATCCATTGTCCTGTGCTGCATACAATCTGGAAGGGAGGAGAAATAAAGTTTCTGTAGCCCAGGACTAGCACTCTGCCTGCCAGGCCATGCTGGCTCATCTTTTTCAACTGGAAATGCTGAATGTATCTCTAGCTCTTTCAGACCAGATGTTTCTGTGGGTGTACAAGCTTTAAATAGTGACTTCAGTCTCTTTCTCAACCATGTGGTGGTCTTTTTCTTTTCTCTGTCCTCTGTTAGAACATCGTCGCCGTAGGGGCTGGCTTCTGTGATGGTCTCCGCTGCGGTGATAACACCAAAGCAGCTGTCATCAGACTAGGACTAATGGAAATGATTGCATTTGCCAAGATCTTCTGCAAAGGACAGGTGTCTACTGCCACTTTCCTGGAGAGCTGTGGGGTTGCAGATCTCATCACAACCTGTTATGGTGGCCGCAACCGAAGAGTGGCTGAGGCATTTGTAAAAACAGGAAAGGTACCGCACTTAGACATCCTCTTTGGTTAAAACAACTTCCCATGAATGACTCCAGAATCTTTCTTGTTTGGACAAGCAAGACATGTGACTGGTGGACATTTCAGTTAAAGCACTGAACTGCAACATGAGCCTCATGGGAAATTACTGGGATCTTACAGTTATGCTAATGCAGCTGCAAGCTTCTGTCTCTTTTTAAGCAGGGCTCAGGTGACAGCAAGGGTGCAGAAGTTCTTTCAGGCCATGGGCCAAATCCCATTCCAGAGAAGATGCAGGGCTGCATTCCAGTGATGGATGGGGCCAAAATGCCCCCAATACCATATAGCTTGAATCTCATCCTTTTGAATGAATTAAAACTTAACAAAAGCCATTAGGCTGCCAAATAATTGGAGTTTGCAGGGAGAGGGGAGACCACCAGGACAGGCATGACCTTTTGGGGACCTCCCAATTCTGGCCCGTAGGGTCAAGGTTCTGTGCCTTGGGTTACACGAGGGCAAGAGGGTTTGTGATGACCTCTTAGCTACTATATTTAGAAGGGTACAGGTGGGCAATTATTTGGTTAAAGCAGGGAGGAGTCAAGGATGAGAGCACATGGGTTTAATTAAAGGGGCCCTTGAGCCTCTCCCACACCATAATCCAAGCAGCGGTCATAAACCCCAGAAATGATTACAGTAGATAAGGACTCTGAGTGTCAAGCATGGCTGGACTGCTCCGATTTAGGACACCGTTTGAGCAATTGAGCACATTCTGTGCCGTAGCACTGACAGGCCTGTCGTGCTAGTCTGGTCTTTCCATCGCTCAGACTGGCTGATGGGACTATTTTGCAGTTGGCACAGTTTCTTTCTTCGGAGATTTGGATGTCTTTTCCATTAACGGAGGTCCCTTGTCATGTTTTGAACTGGGAGCATTTACATAGTTGCCCTTTGTGCATGGAAGTTTTTTTTATAAAACAGGCTTAAAGAAGTTATGACCAGGGGAGGGGAAAACAGAAAAAATGGGCGGTGGGGGTTAGTCCTTTTGCAAGGACTAATTTCCCATTATTCAACTGGAAGAACTGGACATTTGAAGGAACCTTAACCCTATTGCTTGTGTGAAGAGGTACTTTAATAAATACTAAGTTGCCCCCATCTTTTCCATCTGAATTCTCCTTTCCTATCTCATGAACAGGGAACATTCCACTGCCCCATCCTAGCCCACAAGCAACTCCCATTTCCTAGCTTATTCTAGTACATCAACTCTAACGATAATGGTACTCTTTACTCCATTAAAGCTCCCCATTGGGATCAGTACTTTAATACTATTTGATTTCCTATTAAGATCTGCAATATATGTAAGAAGAAGGGGAAAGCAAACAGAAAATGGCTGGCAAGTGCCCTTAATCCCAACTCTTTTGAAATGGCTACAGGGCAGCTGGCCTAGTTAAAGGAAATGGAAGGGCCTGCTTAAGTCACATGGACAATCCTAATGGAGCTCAGGGACTTGGCATATACTGGATTAGCTGTAAATTCTAACTGAAGCAGTTGGTGGCGCAGGTGGGGTGGGGATATGCTCTGCTTGATATTCTGCTCCCTTTTGATCTAAATATAAGGGTGCTTCTGCATAAGTAGTATAAAAGCTGAAGACTGGATTTGCACAATAGGGGAAGGGAAAGGAGCCACTGTGGTTTATTTTCCAGTCCTGTGCATGCTTGTTGCACACCATAGTTGCCATTCTCAGGCATGATGTATCATGCTGTCCAAACCCAGTGAGGGTGGGAGTGGATGGGTTTACAAACCACTCCAAAAACCACAGCTTGTTCTAGGGTGGTTTACAAGTCACCCCTCATCCTGGCCAGGTTCAGGCAGCACAACAAACAGCACCCAGAAAGAGCAATTATAATTCGACACCATGCAACTGGCATTCCCTTCTTGAGTATGTATCAAGATCTATCCACCCTTTGCTGAATAAAGTTTAATTTCTGTCAGACATATTTAAAAACAAAAACAACTTGTTTTCAGATGGTAATCTATGTGTGAAACTTTAAAAGATTTTTTTTTTCAATCTTCAGTCTATTGAAGAATTGGAGCAGGAGATGCTGAATGGCCAAAAGCTTCAAGGACCACAGACCTCTGCAGAGGTGTATCGTATCCTCCAACAGAAAGGATTAGTGGGCAAGTAAGTGGAAAAATGTGTAATATGTTTTAAGCATGATACTTCTTAAATATGCTGGCACTAACTTCTGAGAACTTTACTATTATTACTGCCCTCCTCCTCCTCCGCATCTCCTTTACAAACTCCCGAGTGAATTATACCCTAACTGGGTCTCCATGACTTTAATCATGAATAGTTCAACAATGAGAAGCCTTTTGGAACCAAATGCATATCTGCTCGTAACCAGTGGAGATTATCAGGAGGAACTGATTCCAAAGCACTGGGGGCAGTTTCATTTCCCCCCTTGGTGAACTCTGTGCAAAAATAAACCACACAGAATTATGAAAGTGGTTGATGTACTTTCAGTGATGACTAAAGTGATGCACTCAAGGGGACATCTTCCTTCATCAAAAATTTCCTTCACAAAAATTTCCAGATCAAGTGCTTTGTTAACTTTTGAACATACCTGAAAGACAGCCCTAAGCTTACTATAAATCTTGCTATTGTTCTTACAGATATCATTTAGTTATCAGGCAGAGGCCTCCTGTGGTGCCTATAGAGCCTCAAGAGGGCCATAGGATCAGTCAGACTCTCAATATTGCTGAGCAGGATGAGCCCGGAGTCTGCCTTCCCCACCTTGGTCCTGCTGCTCTGCACAGAATGCCCATGATCCTCTAAGTTCAGAGGGATGGCATCCCCATAGGATTTCACCCTTGGATAGTGTGCTCAAAAAAGACTCAAGATAATATGCAACAAAGTAAAAACATGCACAGTTTTGAACAGCTAAGAGCAATTATCCACCAAACTATCCCCTTCAACAAAACAACTGAAACTTCGGGGACAGCAATCCAGTGGATGCATTAAATTGCCCATCATCTGCCATCACATGAATAACCACTCTACACACCTCCAACTGCTTTACATTCATCCCTTACATGCAAAGAAAGGAAATTCTTATACAGAACCAAACCACTTATGTCTTCAGATTCCATCAGTGTATGGATATTGAGCACATGCGTGTCTTGCTGAGGGGTTAAATTGGCTATTCTAGAATATTTGGATCCATTTTCAGGCAAAAGACAGTAGTGCAGGAAGAGCAATATTTGGTGATTCTCCCCCCATCCATGCAGCTGTGAGTGCCCCCATGTCTGTTCTACGGGGTGGGGGCTCATTTTGGAACAGAGGGGTGAGGGACTGCAGTTGGGGAGCAGCATCGTCAAAAACCAACCCTCTCCCCATTCCACAAACTGATGCCTTCCACCAACAGGACTCTAATTAGATACAACCAAGTATATTTAAATGGTTCCCCAAAGGTAAAATTATCATCATGACTGTCTTTCATAGAATCATAGAATAGTAGAGTTGGAAGGGGCCATGAAGGCCATCAAGTCCAACTCCCTGCTGATGCAGGACACCAAGTTACACCATCCCACTCAGATGGCTGTCCAGTTTCTTTCTGAATGTGTCTTTGTGGAAAACCGAGCCTTTATTTCATTTTACTGAAGTCCTAGTGCTTTTTATTGATGTCAGCTTCTAATAACAGCGGAATGCCCTTTTGTATAATTACTTGAAATTCCCAGGCATTCTTGCCTTAAGACCTTGGAGAAGGGTCCCCCCATTTTTGCTCCCACTTGTTGACATTCAGTCAGCAAATGCGGTGGTGCATTCCACTGACTGGCCGTTCCTCTTGGAAGGGCAGCATTGATCTACTATCTGTAAAAACAATTTTCCTGGACTGTCAATTTTTTCCAGTTGGTAGCTATTGTAATAGGAATGAGGAACAGGATGTGCATAGCTCTTACCAGAGGGACTTGCAGACTTTAGCAGATTTTTATTAATAGTTCTTGTTGTTTGCAAGACAGGGTTTGAGCTGGTCAAAGAAATGTATTTGGCCCTTTCTCATACAGCAAATCAAACCTCAATGCTAATATTTGATTCTACCTTTTAGTTTGTTGTGTTTAGTCCCAAAGTCATGTCCGACCCATTGTGACCCCATGGACAACTTCCCTCCAGGCTCTCCTGTCCTCCACCATCCCCAGAGTCCACCCAAGCCCACACCCACCACCCCAGTGACCCCATCCAGCCACCTCATCCTCTGCTGTCCCCTTCTCCTTTTGCCATCAGTCATTCTCTGCTTCAGGGTTTTCTCCAGTGAGACGTTCCTTTTCATTAGATGGCCAAAGTATTTGAGTTTCATCTTCAGTATCTGGCCTTCTAAAGAGCAGTCAGGGTTGATCTCCTCTAGGACTGACCAGTTTGATCACCTTGCGGTCCAAGGGACTCGTAGGAGTCTCCTCCAGCACCACAATTCAAAGGCCTCAATCCTTTTGCGCTCAGCCTTCCTTATGGTCCAGCTTTCACAGCCATACATTGCAACTGGGAAAACGATAGCCTTGACTGTACAAACTTTTGTCGGCAGGGTGATGTCTTTGCTTTTTATTATGCTATCTAGATTTGCCATAGCTTTCCTCCCTTTTCTTTCCTAACTTTTAGTACCCAGGATGAAAAAAGGACATGGCACAAATATATTTATGGTGCAATATTAATATTGAAGAATTAAAATATGTGGGATGGATCCAGAGACCTATCAGCAGAACTACACTCATGGAAAAGGGACTCCTGGATCCTGTAAATGGAAAGGAAGTGTAAAGGCAGTTTCCTTCCTTCCTCTTGATAATCTGATCGGGAGGATTGGGGCGCCCTCCAGGACAATATGGCGAGGCTGCAGAAATCATGCTTCTTCCCTCCCCTGATTTGTGGAAACCTCTACAGAATTGAAACCCCTTCTTCCCAGTTCTTCAGTTTGAGGAAGGTTTCTGCTAGGTCCAAAAATATATCTTTGTAGCATTGGTAAGAGCAGAGTGTTCTTTTCCTCACTAAATCTAAGCCAGGATTTCTATTTTCATACATGAAAATTTATTTCTGAAGCAGCAGTATCAGCTTGCCATAAAACCAATGGACTCATTTGCAATAGGCCTATAACTTTCTATGCAAAATTGAGAACCAACCCTGCCAGTTAGACTCAGGTATGCTGGACCTTTGTCTTCACATACTTGATGTTAAAAGGCTAACTACTTATGAAATTTCCAAGTAACTTTAGAAAACCCAAGAGAATCAGCATATAGGTTAAACGTGAGGGCAGTTTACTACTCTCTCTTGAGGGGTACCTCTCTTAAAAACCTTTAAGGATAAGGCAGTTTCTCTGTCATCAGCATGGATGGACTTCTTTTAATTATTATTTGGGATTTTTAAAGCACCAGCATAGGGACTTTCTGAAGACAGAGCTTTTGGGTTAGATATATAGTTGATGGGAAAAATGCATCTATTGCTGTATACCATGCTAACTGGGAGATAATTCATGGCCCTGAATTAATCAAAACAATACATTAATCTTCAGTTGATAAGAGCAGAGTGAAAAGAGAAGGAAGAGGGCATTACAGATCCCTTCCCCCAAAGTTGTACACAAGGTAGTTGAAAATGCATTTTTTAAAACCGTATTGCTTTTGCTTGATTTGAAGGAACTAGCATATTTAAATAGCATCTTACACTTTGTTTTGGCATCAATGCATCATGAATGGCAGCCTTTCTTAGGGTTCCTCTTCTCCCTTTTAAGAAGTTTGTCTTCCTCTCTTGTCTCTTTTTCTTAGGTTTCCACTGTTTGCTGCTGTTTATCAAATCTGCTATGAAGGGAAACCTGTCCAAGAGATGATCTCCTGTCTCCAGAGTCACCCAGAGCACATATAAAGCATGTTTTACCATTGTCACATCTCCTGCCTTCTCATATTCATGTGTGGATTCAGATAGTTGTAATTTACGGTTCCTAGTAAGCTACTCTGGGAAGAGATCATAGTTGTATGAATGTCTATGGACTCATGTAATGGCGGAGGGTTTCCTTTGATGTAATCATGAACCTCTTAAAACATTAGCTGACTTTTCTACAGGCTGAAATGCAGGTGGCTTTCAGATGCAGGTCATGCACAACCCCTAAGGATGCATCTCTCTTTCGATGCTTTCTTTTTGTGAAGCGACCCGTCTGGAGCAAGAATGAGGACCTCTAGGTGCTGGACTGCAGTTCCCATCAGCCCCAGCTATTATGGCCATTATTCTAGCGCTGATGTGGGTCATAATCTGACACCATCTGCAGGGCCACAGGTTCCCCAGCCTTGCTTTATGGGATTTGGCTATGGCCTTCAATATATCTCATCTTGAGGCTGTTGTGAATCGGGTTTGCATGCTTCTTTTTTAGAAAAATCAACAATGATTTTAAAGGCAATACATTTAGTAGCATTTATTTGGTGAGGGAATAGCCCTTTGACCTTTTAAGTGGAGATTTTAAATGAGATTTTAAGAAATGATTATTTTTTTTCCAAAGTAATGTCACTTTTATCCCCCATCTGGTTTGTTATTGGTTTTTTCTCCCTTTCTGAGCCTGTGGTCAGGGTTTTTATGGCCACGGCTTTGGTGCTTAGCATCACACCTTTTACACAAAGAAGCAAAACACAACCCAGTGGTTTTGGACATGCAGGGCCAAAGCTGCAATTACTCTACCTGCATTAAGTTTGAGGTGATGACACGACTGCATGTGGGATGTGTGTGTGGGGAGGGGTTGTGTGAATGCTTTGTTGCAGCACATGTATGTGGTAGGACTGTAAGTCACTGCTGCTTGGGTTGGCCCACCTTTTGAAGGAATGTCCAAGTGAGACTGAGAATGGATTCTAGCAGAGGATTGGGAAGGGTGCCCTTGTGAATTTTCACTTTAATTGTTTGTCAGCTTCTGGAATGGCTAGTAGTGCAATCCTTTGTGTGTCTACTCACAGGTATGTCCTGCTGAATTGAATGGGACTTACACTCATGTAAGTCTGCACAGGGTTGCAACTCCAGTGGCATCACAGTTCCGTCTGTCAGCTTATACTCCGCCTGGATCCACTGGCTGGCTTTTGTGGCATTCCAACACTTGGAGGCTGCATGATTGTAGGCAATCCACTACGGACTGCTCCGATTCCCACACACTAAGGAATGTGTTGAGAATTCCCATTAGCACATGATTGTATCATGCAGTGAACTACTTCAGATTGATGACTGTGTTTGTTTCAGTGCCTGCTTTGTCAACCACCGTACCTTTTGAACGCTCTTTAATGGTATCTCATTGCCTTCAAAGCTATTCCTCCTCTAAGCTGCCTTCATCCTCTGGTGTCTTAAAACAGGACTGGGCAACACGTGTCCAGAAGTCCTCAACGCACACAGACACCCTGCCTATTTTGCTGTACAGACTACCCCACACCCTTCACCAAATCTGACACAACAGCAGCAAAAGAAGCAGTGATTTTGATTAAAAACAAAGCAGAGGGAAGGCACACGACTTGTTTGCAAGTAGAATTGTGTCTTTTGCTGCCATATGCTGACATTTTGGCAATCGATTTGGCCGCAAGAAGTAGGCATGTGGCCCCTTAGGGGAAGGGTCCAGGGGCAATGTGGCTCCCCAATCCCCCAAAACGCCCACCTCTGCCTTCAGAGAATTAAAGACTGAATTTATATAGTCTTCGCACAGATCAGGTTAAAGAGTCTGATAGAGGGGTTCCTGTGTACTATGGAAGGAAGATCCTTGCATGTTTTGGAAGATGACTTATAATAATTTAGATCCATAGTTACTAATATTAGATAGTCTGGAAATGAATGCAACTATAATGTAAGAATGTAAAGTAATAGACATTTCTCCTCTGTTGATTCAGGTGCTCCCTATTTATTAAATTTGTGTCTTTGTATCTCCTTTCCTTCAAGGAGTGCTCTGTGTTATATAGAGTTCTTCTTTCCCTTCTATCTTTACCTTACAGCAAAACTTTGAGATAAGTTAGACTGAGACATAGTGACTGCCTCAAGGATACCCAATGAATTTGACGGCTGGGTGGCTGTGTTTGAACTGTCCAGGTTTGCAGGCAGGTCTGAGGATTATACATTCATATAAAGTATTTGGAATACAGGTCCATTTTGATCTGTGTGCAAGCCAGAATCCCTTTTTAGTCTAGAGCAGTCCTTTTTTAAACTCGCCTGTCCCAAGTACATTATTCCATTATATAGACCATGCTTAATCCTTGGTAATTGGGATCATTTCCTGTATTATGATTTACTCTTCATGCACAAGTGCTCCCATGATGGAAAAGTTGTTCATTTTGTGTAGATATGGACCATGGAGGTCACTGTGGGCAGCGATTAAACTCACATGGACTACGTGTATGTGGATTCCACACCTCTTTTTCTATATGCTGTCTGCATAAGGGGAAATAGCATGAAGCAGCCTTTTGGAGTGATAGCTGTGCATAACTTGGGGGGGGGGGTTGTGGCTCTCCAGATGTCAGACTGTAACTCCCATCAGCCCTGCCAGCATGGCTTAGTGCCCAAGGATAATGGGAAGTTGTAGTTCTGCAACATCTGAAGGGCCAGAGGGTTCCCTGCTCCTAGAAACTGGTTTTACCACCATGATTGGATTTCAAAAACTCCAAACATTTTTTGGCACTCCAGTCAGCAAGATTTATGGGATATATTTTTGCCTTAATCTGATAGGGTGCAATCCTCCTATGCATGTTTAAACCAAAATAAGGCATGCAGCTCCCAGCTGTTTCCCAGACAGCGTAAGCTAAACATACATAGGAGGGCGCCTTTAATTTCACCATTATGTTGACTAATAAAGATGCTTAAGATTTGAAATGAAGGTAGTAATGTGAGATTTTGTTTATAATCTAAGGAAAGCACCTTTGATAAAATAGCTGATCCAGCCTTTTATTGGGAAGAGAAAGCACACACTCTTCTTCATAGGATATAAAGTCTGCTAGGTCTTATGTGAAATTTTGACCTGCTTTTAATAGTTAATAATCTAGCATAACGATGCCTTTTTTAACATACAGTGTGCACAACCATTAACTTTTTGTGTAAAATGTAAAGGGCTGTGTAAATGTGGTAAGTTAGATGTACTGTTGAATCACTTAAAATGATTTACTCCATTTAATGGAATTAAGCCTTTTCTTCCTTGTAAAGCCATTTGGCTTTTGAATCTGATGCATGTATTACAGAATGATTTTTCCAAGATCCACTCCTTATTTTTATTTTTTCAATAAAACATAATATTCTCTGTTTTTATCTTTGGCTCATTCCTGTATTGGCATGGGATATTCCACCACTTGTATTCATCAAGCTATCTGGTCATACGCTGAAAAAGTCATTTTGAAAATGGTTATTTATACTATTATTTAATGAGAATTAGAGTAGAAAAAGCTCAGTGGCCTTTCGTGCTGAGAGTGAGGGAGGGCTTGATGCAACACAACTGGAAGGCACCAGCTTGGGAAAGGCGAGAAGAACGGCATCTATTTGGTTAGGGCTGACCAAAATGTCACCAAGTAGCCAGCAAGCATTTGAATTCTGAACTTTTCCTTGGGCCCGATATTAAGCAAAACATGGTGGGAAAGCAAAAACCTTGCATGATGCTAAAGCCAGAAAGCCTTCAGTTGCTGGGAATCTGAACAGTGAAGATGCTGTTGTATTTATGCTCTGCTATGGGCTTCCCATTTGGTTGCCCAGCATGGCAACAGAGCACTGGACTGCATAGCCCTGATTGGATCCAGAAGGGCTCCTTGCTTATTTATTTATACATCTTCTTTCCACCTTTCCTCCAAGGAGCCCTGGGTAACAGATACTGTGATCCTGATCCTTTCCCTTTTAAGCTCAGCCCTGTAAGGTAGATTAGGCTGAGAGTCAGTACCTGTACCAAAGTCATGTAGTAAGATTCAGACCACGTGGGGACTAAGACCTGGTGCTTCCCAGTCCCAGTCTAACATCCTAAGCATCACACCTCACCTGCTATTAGCATAGCATAATGCCTGCTATTACAAAATGCATCAGAATAGATTCCTAAGATTACAGTCCTAAACACACTTGAGAATAAGCCCCACCAAGCTCAATGGAGCTTAGTGCTGGGTAAACCTGCATCCAAGTGTGCTGCTTCTTAGCTTAAAAAATATCCATGGGCTGTACCTTCAACTTTTCCAATAAAAATTACCTGGCTAACAGCATTTTGTCCTCAATCTTGTAGTATTATCTGTGCATGTAGCTATTCTGAAAGGTTTACAAATGGATAATAATTCATTAATTAGTAACGTATTTCTATCATGGCTAAAATATATTTATTTTTTGCTGTTCAGCTTTTCTCTCTTTGTTGGAAATGTTGCTTTCTCTTCTGTAATAACAGAATAACTGGATGTGCACATTTGAGATTGTCTACAGAACAGTTAGCTTTAAGAGAGCAGTCCAAGTACAAGAATGTGCACTTTTCCATAGCTGGAGGGCTGCTGTTTAGCGGAACTCCTGCCCATCCATGCGTCTCTTAATGTTGCAGGAGGAGGCAGCTGGGTGTGAGCATCTGTCAAGAGGAATGGGGCCCTAACAGGCTGTATCGCTCCACACAGGTGGTAGAACCCACATGCCAGTCACTTATTGCCAAAGTAGAGCTACCAAAAACAACAGAGTCGGTTTTATACAAATAGGGTTTCGGCATGATGCCGTACCCATATGGTATATCCTCCAAGAAGTTCTGATCTTGGTAAGCAACCGGTCTGATTTCTTCCGTACGTGTTTCTAGGGGGAGTGGCACAAACTGCAATCTATTGAAGGATTGTAGATGTCCAGATTTGTAGCAGTTGCATGCTATGCCACTAGAGGTCGCTGGTGTGCAATCTGTTTCTTCCCACACTGGGAGTGGTAATGGTAGCAGGACTCCGCAGGACTTTCTTGATGTTCTTCCAAATCCTTATTCTAAGTACTGCTTTTCTGTAACATGAAGTGGCATTTACTTCCTTGTGCTTTTAAATTCAGAGAGTCAGGTGCTTTCAGCTGCAGCCTGCTCTTGTCCATATGGGGGAGAAGCTTCTTTGCAGACTAAATCCAATCTAATGTACCTTGAGCATTACCACATGTTCATGGTTGAGAGCACCCTATTTACCTAATCCACAGTAATTTGAATCTAAAACGACCCTTCCCCAGCCCTGGTGCCTTCCAGATGTGCCCAGGCAGGCTGGTGGATTATGGGAGATGCAGTCCCACATTAGAGAGCCAGTGTGGTGTAGTGGTTAAGAGCGTGGGACTGGGGCTCAGAGGATCTGGGTTCGAGTCCCCGCTCAGCCATGGAGCCAGCTGGGTGGCTTTGGGCCAGTCACAGACTCTCAGCCCAACCTACCTCACAGGGTTGTTGTTGTGGGGATAAGATGGAGGAGGAGAATGATGTAAGCTGCCTTGAGCCCTTTGTAGGAAAAAGGCAGGATATAAATCGCAATATAAATAAATCTGGGTGGTGCCAGGTTGAGGAAGGCTACCCTATAGCATGACCATTTGCAAAGTTGTATTGCAGCTTTTGTGATGGAACAGCTGAACATGTGCAAGGTCACCTTGCTCCGATGAACATAACTCTGAAGAGGGAATGCCCAGCTTCTTGATACTGTTAACCCTGTGAAGTGAATTAGGCGAAGAGTCTGTTAGCCCAAAGTCACCCAGCGAGTTTCATGGCCATGTAACGACTAATCCCTGGCTCTCCGGAGTCCCAGTCCAGCACTCTAACCATTACACCATACTGCCTGTCCCACTGCTTCGGGTGGGGGGTGCAAAGAGTTAGATTAAAAATGACCATCTGAAAAACATTGCATTGAAATAAGGACAGAGCAATCCACAGAGGATACAGCCCTCCTTACAGAGCTGAATATAAAGCCTGGGAAATGTTGATTATTTGTTAGTCCAAAGGGTAAAAAAGAGAAAAATGTCCTGCAAGAAATAAATTAGTGCATTTATTTATTGATTTATTGATTTATATCCTGCCTTTTTCCTACAAAGGGCTCAAGGCAGCTTACATCATTCTCCTCCATCTTTGCCCCACAACAACAACCCTGTGAGGTAGGTTGGGCTGAGAGTCTGTGACTGGCCCAAAGTCACCCAGTTGGCTCCATGGCTATGCGGGGACTCGAACCCAGATCGTCTGAGTCCCAGTCCCACGCTCTTAACCACTACACCACACTGGCAAAGCTCTTACTCCAAATAAAAGGGTAGTGATGTTCTACAGACAATCACTTCAAAAACGGGCATGTTTGGGACATAAATTAGAACTAGTGAAGAATTGCAAGCCATGGGGGGCATGGAGACAAAACAGGCAACTGCCAGGAACAAGTCTCAGGTATACCATTGTTATCAAAGTATATGGATAACAAAATAGCAGATAGCAAAGAAGGGTGAGATGAGCTTGAATTCTGGAAGACAATATGCTGTCTCAGCAGGGTATGCTGTAGTTTCTTAGGTGAAGAGAAACTTGCCACATCAGCTCTTTTAAACCTGATCTTGTCAAATCCATAATTTATTGATATTTCCCTGGAATTCTGCAAAGTTGTAGGTGTTAGAAGTTGCACTAAAATCCTGGCTCTTCTGACCAAAATAATGCATATACAGTGCAAAGTTAAGTATGTATTTTCTTTCGCCGGGTCCTTAGCAATTAAAATAGTTCTGCTGCTCTCTGGCCATTTAGACAACTTGTGAATTTCACTCGCTGGTTCATTTAAAAATAAAGCATAAAAGCTAGGCTTTCAGAGGGTTTTTTAAATGCTATTTTGGTGTTATGCTGTGATTTTTGATTTTGAATAAAAGCTCAAGGGAGACACACTGGATAGTCTTTATATTCAAAGGAAAATGGTTAAAAAAAGACATGAAAGTCATTTTTGAAATGAACATGCTTTTATATAGGTGTTATGACACTAATTACATCTATTTTACCACTTATGATTAGTATTATATAGCTATATAACTATATAAAAAGCACTCAGGGTAGAGCAGCTTTCATTTTTGGAGGGTTAAATTCCAGTGGCCACTCACTCCTTGTTTCTTATTTGATTTATATCCTGTCTTTTTTCATCCAAAGAATTAAAAGCAGCTCACATCATTCTCCTCCTGCTGATCTTAATCTTATCCCCACGACAACAATCCTGCAAGGTAGGTTGGGGTCAGAGTCTGTGAGTGGCCCAAAGTCACCCAGTGGGATCTATGACTGATCAAGAACTAGACCCCAGATTGCCAGAGTCCCAGTCCCAACTCTTAACCTCTGCACCACACTGGCTCTCCAAATTATGTTTAAATTCCCTATAGAATGGATTAAGTTGGATTTTTTTCTGAAAAGAGTTCTAAACATTCATTATCTGGAGGCACTTTGAAGGAGAATTATAACATTCTTAAGTGTGACTTTCAGGCAGGATGCCCATTATCTTCTGAACTACGGAGGGCGAGAAGTAAAGGAGGTGGGAGTAGCGCAGAGGTAAAAGTGCTCCTCCTGTTCTGCAGCTCCTGCTCTGCAAAGTGGGACAGAATGAGGCTGAGGTCCCACCAGAATATCTTGGAGGCACCTGCCTCCTGCCCTCACTACTCTCCCCAAAAACTCTTGAGGTCTCTCTTGTAAATATGGAGAAACTCAGCGGTACAGCATTTTGTCTGTGGTTCCTTTTTTCAAATGTTGCTCAAAATATTTTTAAAGACTTCCATAGTAGTGTGATGCCAATAAAGTTATGAAGAAGTACTATCGGTATAGCCAAAAGCAAAGGTATTGCTAGACCATGTGGCCTGGGACCCAGATTGATTCTCCAGAACTTCAACTATCCAGAGATGCTACTGGAAGATTCTCTTAAGCTGCATTATATGGGATGGGATAATTTTCCTGCAGGAGTGAGAGGCATGGAACGGAGGAAAGAGAAGCGGGAATGGCGTAGCAGGAGAAAGCATATTAAGGGGCAATCCTGGCCCCTAACTCCAGTCTCCTTCACTCCCCACGTGGGACATTCCAGCTGGATCAGCTAAAAAGCCTATTTAGCAAAATATGCAGAGCAAGAGGCTGGGGAGGTAGAGGTCACCTGCTCCACTCCTCTCATTCCCCATTGGATGCCAGAAGCTTCTGAGCTTGGGGGCTTACAGCCAGCACCAAAGGGTCAAGCCTTAATTGTAACTAAAAAGGAACTTCTTATTTGGGTTGATCTGGGATGGGCAGCCAATGGAACAACTTATCTCCAAACTGGAATTGGATGGAGCAAACAGAGAATGCCTTCAAGGTAGCCCTTTAAATAG